TTACAAAGCCACACTCTAAGTAGCGAACCTCAAACTTCGTGCTTGTCTTTTCGAATTAACGGCCCTCCCAGTGCTCTCTCAAACTGCAGAGAGCTGGGTGATAATCAACCATGTCACAAATTTTGGGCACAGCATGCAGGGCACTAACAAGCGTTCTTTTGAGACTCGACCGGCATTCACACTTCTTGTCGGTTTGCGTCTCGTTTGACCTCGAAAGAGCCACATTGATATCGGAAGACAAAATGCATACAGCGATAGAAATATTGATGGACTGGTCACATCATGAGAACAGTGATCACATTATAAGAAGATTAGATTACAGATGGGCGAAAAACAGTGAGCTTGATATCAAGAGAATACAGACGTCCTCATGGAAAACGCACAGAGGCAATGGGTTGACGTGTTTGTGACTAAAGTCAATTATCTGCATCCGCAATGAAAGCGAGTTTGGAATCACGAAGTGGATCGCGCATAAACCACATTGGTCGAATCAGACCACCACCATGGAGCACAGTTGTATGAGAGAAACATCTATGGCAAGTATGCTGTGGTTTTGCACTATCAGCAAAGGCGCCAGATCCACGTATTTAAGTAAGTAGCGCGCCATTAAATCTACCGTGTGCATCTTAGAAGTTCTTGCATATTCGATTTCTTTCTCATTCATCCTCAATAAACATTGTGCGTTGTTTTGGCTCTTGATTGGAGATTTCGTCATTCGTCTGAATGGAGTAGGAAGCTGTTCGAGGCCATTCTTTATGCGACCACATGCGTGGTGTCCCCAGATGCTCATATGTGAGATCGATGTGGACGCAGACGAACTTCGCATTCCGGTAGCAAAAATCATTGTCCGCTAAGTCATTATTCGCTCCGTTCATGTTTTAGCACATATATCGGTTGCTTATTGTGATAGTATGTTCTAGATGCTTAGGTGAATAAAGCCTTTTAATTTTGAGGTGCTCTCGCTTGAAAAAATGCTTGAAAAGGGAATCCAACAAACAGCGTCAGGTTTGTCTGTCAACTCATGATTTGTACGCATTCTGCTGCCCTTCCTACCATTTTATACTTTACAGTAAAGCAGCTAGTGATCGAGCAACAAGCTAGGGAAGCAGCCGAAAAACGGTGTATGGAACTGGAGCAGGTCTTCACTACATTCAAATATTTTGACTCTCTCGTTTGATTTCACAAGGCAAAGATGCACATATTGCTACTGTAGTAGTGTGGAACATGTCCTGCATCCAGGTGGCCACTGTAGTGAGCTAATGAGATTTGGAAATTTTAGAGCTTTAGCTTATACTTCGTTGTTCAATATAAAAGCACTTTATTTTACAGAAAAAAGAGAAAGATGAGGAGCTCATAGCTCTACGCTTTGAAGAAGAAGAGACTGACGAGCTGATGGCTCTCATGAGCACAGCGGTTACGGCGATTTGACAACATTGCTTATTTGAAGCTCTTATCGCCTTCAAACCAACCATCATTTTAGAATAAAATGACGAGAGATGAGAAAAGTAGTGATAAATGCACTCTGAAAAGCTGTGTACTGATATCGTGTGCTGCAGAATCATCGACCGAAGCTAAGGAGCACTCGCAAATATCAAAAGAGACCGAGGCACAAAAGACCTGAGGCAGGGGAGGAGAATCAGAAAAATGAGGTATGTTGTTGCGAGCTGCATGTGTGTCTTTGGGCGCAAGTGAATCGTACTGTGCAACAAGGCACAATTTGATCAGAACTCTCACTCACTTCGTATTCCTCTCCTTAAGTCTCTATAATTTGAAAATACTACTCAGTGCCAATGTGCAACCTTCATAGTTATCTAACTAGCAAATCTCACTTCGTATTCCTCACCTTAAGTCTCTATAATTTGAAAATACTACTCAGTGCCAATGTGCAACCTTCATAGTTATCTAACTAGCAAATTATGAAAAGTAATAAACGTGGCGTCATAGCTCTGATCCTGTCCACAACAACTGCGGCTTCATTTATCTAGAAATTCACTATTCGGTAAATGACAATCTCGAATTGCTTGTTCTGATAAAAGTGGTCTCCACTGTTTGGCTGTCATGCGCATTGACTTCGAGATGTACGCTGGCACACACTACTGGTCGATATACTGACTACAATGCACACAATTTTTGATTAGCCTAACAGAGTTTTTTATCGGACAGTTCGCAATCAATCGATAGGTTGCAGTATGAGAATGTTACGCTGGGAGCTGGTTGGAAAAGCAGTACTACGCACTGAGATTCGAACGAGTTTATTGACTTCAAATTTGAGTTGCAATTCGAGTGGCATGAAGATGAGCTAGTCTTCAGTGATCGCAACGCAAACCGACTAGACGCTGTAGTGCCGGTTGATTTTCAGAAGACTTCGTTCAAGCGACCTGTGAGTGGTACACAGACTTCTTGACGTGATTTTAGTAGAGCCCCACGTTTCCACTGTATAACAGAGCTCCGGGAGGACCATCGGTCGAAAAGGTACACACGCAATGTGGGTCCCGTTTCTTGAGAGGCCAGTCAGATGCGACCTATGCTTCTCTCGTTCTTCTGTCTAGTTTTATTCAATTTTGTTCTCTGTGTACTCGTTGAGCGTCAAAGGTACACGTACAAGGTAAACTCCTTAATCAGAGGACCATTCAAATTGATTTCCTTACATTTGCGCCATAAATTCTTCTAAGTGTCTTCGTCCTGATTTTCGTAGCCTAATGTTTGTTCTGATTCCTTGAGCTCACTGAATACCGCTTCTACTTTGCTAGTACTTTACAAAAAGATGACGATGTCGCCGGCAATGCGATGCGCTAATTGCAAATTTACAAATCGGAGAACGAATGGAAGGGAGAGCAAAACAGGTGCCTTTTGCACCAATATGGAATAATCCAATGACTATTGTGGCTTTGAATGTCATATTTCTCACATCAAACCATGAACTTTTTATACATGTTCCGATTTTGGTGACCATTTGAGCTGCTGTTTTCTAAGGGATGGTCACAGCTGTCATTTATCTATTCTGTCGATAATCATTCATTAAATCAATGGATAAATCAAACTGAGGAGTAGATACACTATGTTTCCATACAACTAGATTTTCTTAATATATAAATCAGACTACTTACATGCTACACGGCAATAAATTAAAAATTGATCTCATTCGATGAACAGGAGTTTTTCATAGGAATATTAGCAGTCATTCAAAGCTCAAATCTCTGACTACAGCTATTCCAAAACACTTCTTTATGACGCCGTAAAATCGAAATTAAACTATGTTTCACAACAACACGTGTTTTTTAATCCCGCTTATACTTCGCTGGACAAAAGTCCTTCCTTAGAGTGCTAGTACTCATTCGATAGCGCATGTTTTTAGGACTGCGTTTGCTTTTATGAGCTCTTTGAATGGTGCTGTAGGCGAAAAAATTATTTGTACATTACACCTCGCCGGATAGAGTTCTTTCTTCAGACTATTAGTAGTCACTTGATAGCGCATTTCTTAATAATTCCAACGCTGTGCTTAGTTTCTGGAAATATTTTTAGCAGTGAGAACAGGACCGAGTTTTACATTTTCCTCTGGAGATGTTTACCACCGAATCTATGGGATCGGTCGGGACCAGATGATTAATGCACAGGCTATTGGATATGTGGGATGCATTGTTATTAAATTAGGAATTTTTGCTCCGCTTTGGAACGAACTCTAGATAAAACTAATGATCTAGATGCCACGGAAGTTTGTCTACACGATGATGTGCTTTTAGCGCATCCAGCGAATTATACGCGTGATAAAAATGCCAATGGCGGATGAGAAACATAATTTTGTGTTGGATTTTACACCGTTACAGAGGGGTTGAAAACAAGCCACGGGTTGCCGTAGTCCGAAATTTATGCTTCCAAATGATTACTAGGGCTCCTATGAAAAGTTCTTGTCCAGCAAAGAGATTAGTTTTTTATCTGTCGCTGTCTAACATGTAAGTAGCCAAAGGAATGTCGTGTAGTTTGGGGCTACTTCAGAAAATGGTGGCAGTGGTAGATCTGAATGTTCGCGGAGCAGGTTTGATCCTATCACCATGAGAAAAATCTGAATCTAGTTGCTTCAACAAATGCAAAGGGTAGTCTATGTAGTCTGCGTCAACACTGAAATCAAATCAAAAGTGTATTGTACGCCACTGTTTTGTCTATCGTTTATACTGAAGAAACACATGCGTATCAAGCTGGTGTCTCTCCTTATCACTCAATAGTAGGTAGTATCTCTTTTTATTATGCTTAAATGGTGCTCACCTCATTTCTCAACGAGTGCAGCAAGCGTCAAACCAAAATTTCATCTTGTTTCGGATGAGATAGGTAAGCATGCAAATAATTATGCTGTGGTATTTTTATCATCATCTTGCAACGAATTTACTTCAAAATTTCACAAACGCTTTTCTCAAGGTGAAAACTTGTTTCAGAACATTTGCAGAAACATTTTCTGTCTGACTACTCGAGTGCTCTGTTTTCATAGACTCACCTTTCCAGTATAGGCTTGTATTTTTTGGACTGGTTAAAGTTTTATGTACCTCCTTGGCGACGAAAGAATGTTCCTTCGCATGCGAGTCGCCAATTGTCATGGTTGTATCAAAGGCTTTTCTTGAATTTCTCGGTGAAATTCAATTATTCGATCATGCTGGACATTAATAGTACTTTTCAGAGAATTGAGTGGTGAGCAAAAACGCGACCTAAGGCGGGAATCGAACCCACGTTTCATCCTATCCGGGGATGCGTGCTCTACCACTGCACCACATAGGCACATTTGCGCCACCCACTCATTCTTCAACATCTCAATGTTAGCCACCCAACCTTTGACAGGTTTGGTTGAGTATGCGATTTCGCTTCATAAACCCAGTTGAGCTGACAGCTTATTACTAATACTCGACATTAATAATATTTTCAATGCATTTCGCAATGTTGATGATGTTTTCTATATGCCTAAGAGAATTGAGTGGTGAGCAAAAGAGTTGAAGAATGAGTGGTTGGGCAAATGTGCCTCATTGGTGTAGTGGTAGAGCACGCGTTCCCGGATGGGATGAAAAGTGGGTTTAATTCCCGCCTGAGGTCGCGTTTTTGCTCACCACTCAATTCTCTTAGGTATCATAGTATTTTTTGTATTCAATCTTGTCGAATGTTGCACCTTAAGTCAGGTTGTGAACAGCTTCTCGAAAATACTACTGTTTCTTATTTAGTTCATATGTGAAGGAAAATACCTCTTTCAAATGTTTTCTGGACAGCTCAAGTTTAAGGTTAGTTTTCTCTCTACTTCAGTGCTTCATTTCCATCTAAACTCTTTTTCCAGTGCGTTTCAAGAAGATTTTAAAACAATCAATATCATAATATTCGGCATTTTCTCTTTATCTGCAGGGATTTTTGAAGGAGAATTTTTTATTGAACAAAGACTTTCCACTAGACCATTAATAATCGTTCGGAGGCTTAAATTTGAGAAGATTCAAAAGTGCACTTGATTTAATCAAGGAAGGTCTTCTTATACCGTGTTGCACCGAAAATAAAAGTGTATTCGCACGCCTTGCAAATTTTCGCGTTTATATCTCGTGGCACAGAGCTCTTCCTTGAGACTAATAATAACAATTAGATAGCGCAGGTTGCGACGATTCAAACACTGAGTTGGTCCCTTGGAAAAGCCGTTTCACTACCAAGTAGCAAAGAAAAGAAGTCTGAGCTTAAAATTCGTTGCGCACTGCTTGTCGGACATGGTATTTGAGTGACTGTGGATCGATAACGCGACGCATCAATCGCGCAACATCGACTCACTTGTAGCGCACGGTATTTGGTAGTAACTCTAGAGTTTTTTCTTCACTACAGAGAAAACTCCGAATAAAACAAAAGATTCTGATGTTTCAGGATTTCTCTATCGTTCATATGCTTCAAGTGCACAGATTAGGTTGCTTAGGCCCAGGCATTTCGGCGGGTTCATTTGGCATTAAGAAATAAAAATGAAAAATCTAAGTCCACAAAACGGTAGAGCAAAGTTTTTTTTTACATTGGAAAACGAGAAAAAAAACCAAGATAACTCGACGAAACGGAGGAAAAAATGTCAGAAAAAAAAATTTGTGCAGTAACGTGACGCGTGTGAAAAACGATTTTATTCTTAGTACTACAGCGCTATGAGAAGGCTATTCCAAGAAGCAAGCACCTTTTCTAAACAAGCGAAATTTAAGTTTTTGGACGAACTGAAAATCTGGGTGGAAAGTCTTCGTTCAACACAAAAGACTCCTTCAAAAAACCCTTTCCGAGGAGAGAAATTGCCTTACAACTATCTGCAGCGCAGTGTAGCTGAAGTCGTTTTTCGACAGGTGGTCTTCTTTATTTATATGCTGAAAGAGTGTAAGGAGGAGAAAACAGGCTTAGAATCTTTGAAATCTTTGAAACAAGCTAATCTTTGAAAAAAAGACTGCGAGTGACAAAGATACTCTTGTAGTATGCATACACATACTATTCGAGCACATATATTTAAACATTATAGAAGCCTTATTTATTACTCTTTTTAGCATTTTATACCCAACTAATAGCTTCCTAGACTCTTAACGTAGGGGCTGGCTACTCACGAGTAACTTCCCAATCTCTCTCGGTGGAGCAGGAGGAGTTTATTTGTTGGAGGTGACTCCTGACCGCCTCCCATGTACTTCCCAGCCGCTTGATTTCAGGCTTTTGGCCGGCTTGGCTCGTAGAAATAGAGTTCTGTCAAGTCGGCGCTACGGAAGCAGACAGCTCATCCCTGAATCTATTTGTGTCTCTGAGAAGGACGCGGTCGCTTTTGGTTTGCGTTTATTTCTCTATCCACTACTTGGGGACGCGCCACGTGCTCTCGCGACTAACCGGCCAAGATCCCTCAAAGAGGGAGGTTTGTGGAAGAAGAGAAAGCTATAGAAGAAAGATATGATGTTCAGCAATTCCTAGAGCTAGGAGGAACCCCTGGGCTACTCCTTCACGAGATAGGCAATAATGGAAGTGTTGCTGGCACCCGCTCGAGTCACTCGACGATCAACGGGACGACAGGTGATGCAGGTGATAAAGGCCTTATAGAGACGGTGGTTAGCCCTTATGTCGTAGGTAGCTATGGACTTTCACCCAAGCCTTTTTACTACAGTCTCAGGTGGGTATTTAGCATTCTAAGATAGGGTCGTTGAGTTTGTAAACCTCACTTCTATCTTAACTCTTCTTCCTGTGGCGTTCAAGATAGTTGTAGAGCTATCGATATCATTGTATTCAACAAATATACAACCCGTAGCTTGTTATGAACACACCAGAAACGCCTAATCTCCACCTACTTGTCTTCGTTCGACTCTTTGAAATATGAAAGACCAGAAAGACTCATGGTAATTAGCAGATAATTCAAATCGAATGCAAACTCTTACCCACTATACCCTTTCAATCTTATGCTCAGACATTTACAGTCAGATCACAGACAATTTGGAAATGTTTTAAGCATGTTATATACCTATTGATATTGAGTGATATGCAAAACAGTGACCCTAAGGTGGACCTGAAGTTGAATTCCGTCCGTACCATAGGCAAACGCTACTAGTTCACCACCAAGGCCACCGCTCTGCTTCCACGCTTTACCATCGGCTCAAAGATACTATCCCTTACCTGATTATATTGGAGATGAAAGGTTTGAAGTGTGTGAAAGTTGGAAAGGTTACAGATTCAACATCCAACATTTCATCTCTTCTCATCAAAAAGATGTGATATACTATTTTCAAACTATATGATTTCTTCTTAGCACCAAAGCAGTCTTTCTGTAAATTTTAGATATCTCCGTGTAGAAAAACTAGACAAGTTTTTGGAAATGGCATTTGCACAGTGAGGAGCAAATCACTCATAAGCGATACAACTTCCCACATCCAACAGGTATTTTCTTACTCAAAGACAGAACGAAAACTTCAGAGAGTCACTTTGCCAAAATGGCTAATCCACACTTTTTTCAACTCTCATGTTAAAACTTTGATGCAGGTGCAAACCTCACAAACTAAGAATACAAATCAGAGTAGAAGAGGGTAGCCTAGTGACATGGATGCCGTTGATCAAAAACACGATCCCGGTTCGACTATGATCTGGACTCAACGAGGCTCTCATTCTTATATCGTCAAGAAATTGGTCCTAGAATTGCCTCAGAACAGCTCACTTCTCGTTATCCAAGTGGAAACAAGCTGGCTCTACTATTCCAAGACTTAATCAGTTGAATTCCGTAGACCCAGAGGCGTATTCAACGACTCCAGTCCCTTTGCTTCGAGTGTACGCCGACTATAACTCTTATTGTTGCAGTACCCGCAGCTAAGTTTTGGAATGCTTTGCATGCGATCCGCGAAGACGTATTGACTGCTGTTTTTCATGTTGGCACCAAAACTTAGCCACGAGTCCTGCAACGAAAAGTAGCTGTAGTCGGAGTCCACTCGGAGCAAAGAGGAGGCAGAGGGGACACGCCTCTTGGTCTATGGAAGTCAACCGGTCAAAAAAAATTATCGCGTAAACCAGCATGCAGAAACATTTATGAAGAGGAAGATAATTCTGGAGCAACAGCCGAACCCATGTTCGGTAAACCGGTATCATATAAGAAGTGGTAGAATCTGCACAATAGATGTGAACGAGTTTTATCAAGTAAAAAATGAGAAATAAATATCCTACACTCCAGTGTTAGGTCTAAAGTCACGCTTACTAAGTACGTGTTTCAGTTAGTAACCAGTTGTCGATTGAAATGTCCCACCAGCTGAGATCTTTTGATGATGGTGCTATCTTCATCAGTCGCACAAATGAATGACGTCGGACGTGTCTCCATGCTTCCGCTCACCAGCTCGAACCACAAGCAAATAAGGACGACCTCATGTCTCACCTCCTCTTCAGAATCCGCCATGTGCTGACATGTCACGCTTATCACACTGTCAGATAATCTCTTCACATGTAAAGCCACTGCCGGTTTCACTGCTGAGATCAATACTGACTGAAGCCTAAATTGACATAGACTTTAGACTTTACTGATCCATCTTCACGATTTTTTTACTGTGCGGATCCCAGTACTTCTAGCACTCAATTCGTTGTTTCGTCTTCCTCTGCAACGTCGTATAATACTGGTTGGGCCCGCTTCTTTGCGATCTCGAAGATAGCCTGGCTATGGCGTTCCATAAAACGTTGTCGTTGACTGCTGGAGAGGTTTATGGGGATAGAGCTCAGCTCCACGCGTGCTGCGAAGAGCATCACAACCAATCGGCCACGGTATTACCAAAATTGTCATGTTAAAGAGAAAAAAGATAGGTCATTCGGCGTCGATTGATCCCTGAGGGATGCGCCATGCATTTGCCTTTGTCAATCTCGTTTGAGGCGAATGAATGCACATCTGGCCTTACAATAATTCGCGGTGCTTTATCGATGAATCAACTCAGTACTGCTATACTTCTAGATAAGTTTGATAGTAATCGACTCATTTAGGAGGGATGGACGGCCTAGTGAGTCATCAGAATCGCCAGAACGGTAAAAAAAAAACGTCCCAATTATACTTTCTCGAAGAACTTCTAAAGTCGCACTAATTCGTTTTTTTATTCAAAAATAGCACATTATTTCTGCCCAAGTGATTATGGTCGTGTTCAAGCTAATGCTGGTGCACTTTTGAAACTATTATGGAGAGACTAAATCTATATAAATTCTTCATTCTGTAGCTTTTTAGCAGGGTCATGATCCTTCCAGTATGTAACTATGAATGTGAGGGAATAGGCGAAACGTTCGATCACACGTAGGAGTTGAAGCAGTATCTCATACTGGTGTGGTGGTCTCGGTAGTATAGCGGTAGCACATGCTACAGGTATGAGTAAAACGCGGGTCCAACTACCGCCATGTGAATATTTTCCATAGCGCTCCACAATTCTAGAAGTATATGGTGTGACAAGAGCGCAGGTGTCGTAATATACAGAGGTGGTCTGCGTCGCACACGACGTCAATGGTTCGATTTCGCGCTCATGGCTCACTTAGCCATCCATCCCTCCAGGGTCGGTAAATTGGTACCAGGCAGGTCTCAGACTTGTCTGCGAGGATAAGCCAGCACTGACTCGCTT